AAAGAATAGTCTAATGGTTAAAATAAAATACAATCAGTTTTGAAATTAGGCTTTCATTCCAAAATCTCTCGTAGGCTTCCTGTTTGATTTTGGGGAAGAGTTTCATAGTTTTTACGGTTGGAAGGGACCTGAACAGATCATCAAGTCTGACCCCCTGCCCTGGGCAGGAACGAATGCTGGGATCATAATACCCCAGCCACATATCTATCCAACCTCCTCCTGAAGACCCCCAAGGTAACCACCTCCAAGTCCATTCCAGAGCCTGGCAGCCCTAACCATAAAGTAATGCCTCCTGATATCAAGTCTGAACCTGCTCTCGGTCAATTTGTGGCTGTTATTCCTTGTTATCCCGGGGAGGGCCCGGGGGAACAGACCCTCACCTATTTTCTGCTGGTCCCCCCTGGTGAGTTTATAGATGGCCACCAGATCCCCTCTCAGTCTTCTCTTGTGGAGGCTGAATAGATTCAGGCCCTTTAGTTTATCTTCATAGGGCCTGATCTGCTGCCCCCTGACCATGCAAGTGGCCCTCCTCTGGACCCTCAATGCTAGCCACATCCCTCCTGAAGTGCGGCGCCCAGAACTGAATGCAGTACTCCAACTGCGGCCTGACCAGCACCACATAGAGGGGAAGGATCATGTCCCTGGACCTCCCTTTCATATTGTATCAATGCTGGACTTTTTCATAACATTTCTCACCCTGGTTGGTCCAGTTGTAGTTCCACAAGTCACAGTCGTATTGGGAAGCTGGCTGGAAGATTCACTGGTTTTCTAGCTACCAGTTCTCATCAAATCATCAAATTTGCAATATTTATGCTTGCATTGTTACCATTGCTACATCTGGGAGAGCTGTGTCAATAATAGCAAATGTGCGAACGTGTATAAAGAAAGTCTTAGTAGTACAGTACATAATTTGACAAATGTTAAAGTTGACATACCATATTTACTTGAATATAAGATGAGGTTCCCCCTCCCCACAATCAGCATAAGGGAAAAAGCCCCTCATCTTATATTCACATATGAAGCAGAACAGGGAGCAGGCAGCTACTGCAGCTCTGACTTTGGCCCTGAGCCCAGGTCAGGGCCAGTGTCAGACCTACGGCAGGCTCCCACTTCCCATCTGCAGCTTCTGCACCCCCCCTCTCTCTCCTCCTTACTGCCAGGCATAGCTTCTCTCTGGCTTAGGCTGCGATCTCTCCTGGGCATGAAGTACATGGAAATGCCTTCCCCTGCCCGGCCAGCAGCATTGCTGCATTGCTTGCCCAGCCACTCAGCAGCACTGACATTACTGCATAGCTAGACAAGAGTGAGCTTCCACATGATGTAAGGTGGGGGAGAAGGGCCAGAAACTGGGGGGACTTTCAGGGGAAAAGGAAGAGACTGGAGGAGGCAGGCAGGTGAAGAGACAGAGACTGGGGAGCAGGAGAGAAGAGGCAGAGATAGGGGGAGTTTGCGGGGGAAGAGGTGGAAACTGGGGTGAGTGGGGGCAGGGACAGAGGCTGAAGGGAGCCGGGGGTAGGTGGGTGCAGGGAGAAGAAGTGGGCATGGCAGAAGGCAAGGGGGCACCTGAATCCTTCCCCTCTCCCAGCCACTGCTTTCTCTGCTGTAGCAGGCGTGGGGTTGAAGACAACCCTCCAATACTTAGTCTATCTCTGGGAAATTATAACAAATTTATAATTTTTCCATATATTGAATCTAATTATTGGGGGGGGTCCATATATTCAGGGCCACCTTATATTTGAGTAAGTATAGTAATACTAACTTCATACCAGCAGTAGAAAACTACTGTGGCATTTATAACATGAGTTAATATATTTCACCCCTGAAGTTCTAGTCAACCCAAGGATCTCAAACCAACAGTAAAACATTAATGCATTTGTGTAAGACTTACAGAAAAAAATCAGTTAAGTTATAAATATTTCACCATAGAAAAAATTGAAGCACAAACTGAGGCTTGCTTAGTCTGTAACAGGGCCAAAAATTTAAATGAATCGTTATAAATCACTGAGCTATGTATTACATCCATAGAACCTATATGTGGGCACCTAAATAAGTGGTGTGATTTTTCAGAGATGCTGAACAACAACTCTTTTTGAAGTTAGTGGGCTCCTTAGTGTCTTTGAATATCAGCTTGGATAGTAAATTTGAAGGCATAGCAGCTCTGACACATGGCCTTTGCTTCAAGATATGGCTGTATTTCCCCTAAATCAATTACTTTCCTTAAACTGTGAATTAAATAAATTTAAATATAAGTAAATCAAGTGGTCAAAATATGAAAATAAAACTAAGCAGAAAATAAAAGCCTTAATGAGGCACAAGCACACATTATGAGCAAAAATTCTAGATGTTGATTATAGAAAGAAGAACAAAGAAAAGAAGGGAAAACATAAAAATAGATAAAAAGCGAATATGCCCTTGGTGGAATAGAAGAATGGGGAAGATAAATCCTAAATTAAAATAAAATTTAACTGAAGGAGTGAAAAGGAAAAATTTTTAAAGCTAGTATTTTTTCACTAAACCTATGCTCTTTATCAAGGAAGTAAAATTAACACTTCAAACAAGGAAAACATTTCTTCTCCCTCAGACAGCTACCTGGCAAACCTGTACACATTGGCAGAGTTGGAGGTATTCAAAGCTGGCATCCAGAAGGTGGCAGTAGGACCTGTTCATCAGTTCAACTGATTAGAGTGTTCTTGATTTGTTTCTGTCAGACTGTGAATCTGCTTCCAAATAAGTTTTTAATATATATTCTTTGCCAAATAGATAATTTGGAGATCTTTTATACTCTTGTTTAAATTGGTTTTGCTATCCATGCACTTAAGTCTCCTGTCAAATGCTCTTACTGCCCTTAGGTAGCAGAACAAATAACACCAAATAGCATGGATCTCATGTGCTTCAAGACCCTCAGGGCAAAGGAAAATTTTAATGTGTTAAAAGGACAAAGCTAAAGACATGTCCATTTTTTTCTATTCTTGTTTAGAGCTTGGATGTCAAACTTGATCTGCCCCTGCAGGCCAAATCTGGACCTTAGGGGTCCTTGCAGGTCAGATCTGGACCCAAAGATAGTGGCTGAGCAAGCAGGAGCAGCAGTGGCAGTACAGGGGTTAAGACAGAGGTCTCTCAAGCCCCTCTTCCCCTCCCCTTCCTCCGCTGCTTTGCTCCACAACTAACATGTGTGCCCATCAGTACTCTGCTGCTGAGAATTTGATGGCAGGTCCCTCCCCCAGATTCCTGGCCCATGTACCAGCCGTGTGATCTGGTTTCAATGGCTCTGTGGGCCATATAAACAGATGATAGATAGCAACAGGGTTTCCTGATTCTCCTCAAGGGAATACTGGCAGAACAGTAGACCACTCATTCTGGTAGTAGTTCTAGTTCTCTTCTTGCCACAAGAATACTGCTAAAAACAGATAGATAAATCCATACTCCTAGACACAGAAGCTACTGGATAAGAAATCAAAGACCAACCATGGCTAAATGAGCCTGTCTCTTATTCTGAGGGGCAAAAAAGAATTAATCCAAACTTACAATTTCATTAGTTTAGGATCAAACAGTTATGAATCCTGCTCATGTTTCCACCCTAACCTTTCTTCTGGGGTAAGTGGTAGGCAATATGGCTTCTCATAATCTGTCATTATTAACATTGACAGCACCAGCCTAGATACATTAACTGATAAATGAAACTGCCTCATAAACATGTGAAAAGACGCCCCTACTCACAATAGAATAGCATGTGCTGCAAATCGATCTCCAGATATTTGTTATACTGTATAAGAAGTTGATTGACTAGGTAATCATAATAAATAATGTGTAAATGCAGTGTTTACCCTTAAAGTTACAGAAAGAATGGGACTGATGAATATGGACCACTCCCTTGTATGTTTTCCAGGGACAAAAAGGTGACAAGAATGCTACAGTACCCCTAGCCAAAGATGATGCTGAGCAGCTAATATTGCTCACTGGAAAAACTCTGCCATTGTTTAGAACCCATCATGTCTAAGAAAATCCATGGCATACAATAGATACACGAAAAGCAGTGAAAACATACATCTGCAGGACAAATACATTAGGATATGCACACTACATTTCATAATTAATTATTGATTAACATTAAAATTGAGTATAATTATTCATTGTTTATAACGCATTGTTAATTGTTAAATATTAGCACTAGTTAATCTTAATGAAGGCTAACCTTCCTTATAATTAGGACCTGCTAACTCTAATGTCTAATCTTGCCCTAAAAAGCACAGTAAGATAAGAGCATAAAAACTGCCATAAAGGTCAAGCTAGTGGATCATTTGGTGCCATGTCCTGTGATTTTTAGAATCTCACTAAACACCCGCATTAAATAGTAATTTGTCAAAGAGACTTCCTGAATGTACTCTTAGTTGTGTCATGTATGCATGGGACTATCCCCCATGCTTTTCAGAGAGAAATAATATTTTTTTAACATAGCACCTGAAAATCCTGAGCCATTCTGGAAGCAAGGTCTAAAATCATACTTTTAAGAAGGCGATGTTTTTTTGGGGGGCCTAGAACACAGAATGGATGCCACTCAAATAATTAACTAGTTCTTTTCCAGTTTCTACAGCTAAAGTAAGTCATGTTCAGCAGTAGTTGATCGGTAGATTCTGGCACCACTATAAGGCTGAGGGGTCTGCCTTATAGCATGCCTATCACATGCAGGTTGTAGACATAATGTTTCTGAAGAAATAAATGTAAAGTAAGGACCATATTGTTCTTTCTCCAAAAATAAGTTATAATAAATCCCAACCAATGGTTCTAAGACTGAGGTGTTTAGCAAGGTGCAAAACAAGAGCATGAAGACTGGGGCTGCCATGAACAAGGCCAAGATGGACAAAGCCCAGAGTTTTGTGCCCTTTGATAGTGTCGTGGTAAGACGGTATCTGGCACTTTGCAAGGCATAAGAATATCACATTATTAGTCCTTTGTGGGCAAGGTGCAACTTGAAATATGCTACCTCTCCATATAATTCAGGTTGCTGCTGTCATTTTCTTATTCAAGCTCTGTTTTACTATTTCAAATGCAGTTTTTGAGTGGTGATTTTATTTATTGAATATTTATTACTCCTTTAGGACCAGTATTAGAATGTATTGGGTCAAATAACCTTTCTTAATTACTAACTTTTCTCTGACTGGACATTGCCTTGGTCTCCAGTGGTCTTACTGCTTTTACACAATGTGATGGATAAATTTGGACAATGTTTAGATATTAAAACAATACCCACTTGATAAAGACAGTAAAGAATTAGACATTAAAATGTTCTTTACGCTTTTCTCTCTAGAACTTGAAGAATCCAGACAGAAATGTCCACCATGCTGGTATAAATTTGCTAATACGTGCTTGATCTGGGACTGCTGCGCTCCATGGTTAAAAGTAAAACATATTGTAAATCTGATTGTGATGGATCCATTTGTTGATCTTGCTATAACTATATGCATTGTTTTAAATACTCTGTTTATGGCTATGGAGCATTATCCAATGACAGAGCAGTTCAGCAGTGTGCTTTCAGTAGGAAACCTGGTAAGTTTTCATAACTTATGATGTGATATATGAATATATTTTTCTTATAAAGAAATATTGAGTGGCCTTCTTAATTTTGAAGGAAACTTTGAGCAGATTTAAAGAAACATGGGACTAATATGTCTTAAGTATAAGTAGTTAAGCTGTTCTGTATATCTCTTTTTTAATGCTGTGGTTGTAAAACTCCGAAACAGCTCTTCTCCAGTTTTTTCTCTACAGCCTGTTGGAAAAGAGTTTAACTCAGTCCTTTTCATAAAAAAGACTACTAAATTAATGATCCAATAAAAAGCAGATACTAGGAAATACCTAATATGGTATAATATTTAGGATTGTTATTGATTTCACTGGAAGTTTGGTAATCAACATATTAAAGTTCAGATAATCACTCTTGTGGATACATAATCATTTGGATACAAAATCCCACTATAATATAATTCATGGATTATAAGGCCAGAAGGGACTATACTGATGATCTAGATCAGTGATTCTCAACTAGCATGATACAAGATCCTTTTAAGGATGCTGCAGGATGCAATGCAATTTTAACACTGTTAGGTGGGCAAACACCTACACTTGATTCACAAGATAAACCCAGAGATTTCAAATAGGAATCTATAGTGCCGTATTCTGACCCATTGTGGGTTTTCTGAGTTCTTTGCAAAATAAGAATTGCTCTATTATTTTTCTGTAGTCTAAAATAAGTGAAAGCTAAGAGCTAGCATTTTCTGAGGGGTACCTTGAGTCTAATGAGGGGTACTTTGAGTCCAAAAAGGTTGAGAACCACTAATCTAAACTGACTTTTGGCATAGCACAAGCCGTTTAATATCCAGTGATTCCTCCTTCAAGTGTAATAACTTGGAGTGGAATTAAAGTATATCCATTAGCAAACTGGTCGAACAGTTAATTACTCATACTGTTTAAAATGTGGGTCTTATATCCATTTTGAGTATTTCTGCCTTCAAATTCTAGCCATTGGTTTCAGTCTACTATGCAAAGGAGGCTGTTAGTATCAGACATCTTTTGAGTAGATCAGCATCAAATTTCACTACAGTCCTCTCACTCTGATATGCTAACTGGTGCAGAGAATGGTAGAAAAGATGGCACACTTGCCTTATTGTAACATTGAACATTAGACCCCAAACAAACATGCTATATATCATGAAGGAAGATGGAGTAGTAGTAGTAGTAACTTCTGGAGACCAGGCTTCAAAAGAGTCTCCCCACAATGTCTGGGTATTAGTCTGTGATTTAAGGAAACAACCTCTTTTCTGATAACGTTAATCTCACCTCTAGCAACAGAGTAAAGGTGGCTTTTGAACACAAATTAGCAGGAATATTAAGAGTAGGTTCTATATGGCAGGCTTCATGCTTATTAGCAGGTTGAAATGAAGACAAATTTCCCTACTTTGCCTTTTTTCCATTTGTCATTAAAATGTTGAAAGGTATATTTAAGCTTCCCTTCTAAATATAACTGTTAAATCCAGGGTATGGAAATATTTGGAAGTCTACGCATTTGTAAAAGAAACTTTTTCCAAATGATAAGAATCGCTGGCAACATACAGCTTGACAAAAAGTGCCGCTGAGATAAAAACATTATAATGTAAAAAAATTTTCAGTGTTGCTAGGGTAACAAAACCTACTTTGTATTTAGGTATTTACTGGGATCTTCACAGCAGAAATGTTTCTTAAGATAGTTGCCATGGATCCTTACTATTATTTCCAAGAAGGATGGAATATTTTTGATGGTTTTATTGTGAGCCTTAGTTTGATGGAACTTGGTCTTGCAAATGTGGAAGGCTTATCTGTTCTCAGATCTTTCAGACTGGTAAATATTCGAATAACAATTCTCAGTTTTATATTTCTTTTACTTTTACATTTTGCATTATATTTTATAAGCATGCCTATACTAATTATGTTTTAAAATTGTTGTTTGTATTTTATAAACCTGGTGTATGTAAATTTTGTCACAGTTTCTATAGGTTACAATGCAGTTGCTTGTTACAGTTTATACACATGGAAGTTCTAACCCACTGAGTTTTACTATCAGTAGAAAGCAACTCTGAAAAAGTAAACTGCCAAAGTAATCTTACTTTAAAATCTCTTTTCTGTATCTTGATATTCATCTCTGTGTAGTGAGTACTAGGTGTTATTTGACTCTCTAAAATAAGGTTTAAGTAGGTCTTTAATAATAAATTCAATCATCAATTCCACAGAGTTAGAGAAATGAAAAACTACAATTTGTCACAGAGTCAGATTTTTCAATAATAGAAGTCTATTTTTGTGCATTTATTCAGTGCAATTTATATATTTCATTTCTTGAAATAATCTATTAGATTTTTCTTTATCGGCTTCTCCTGGAATGATCTCTTTGATTAATTGGACATTTAGCATGTTTGCTAACACGACAAAAACAAAATAATTATGTGTGTGTGACAGCTGTATAAATTGTCCTTAAAAGATTTTTCCCTCCCCATCCAGACTCCTAAGAAATGACTCTTAGGTCCTTGGGAGATATTAAGCTTACAGATTTCCTGGTGCACGGATTGACAAGGGCTAGGTGGAGGGAATCACTGGGGTTCCCCAAGGAAATTTAAAACTGTGCCATGCAGCACATGCTGATCTGTCCAGTTGTGCAGGTTTAAATTTCCTGGGTGGGGAGACTCTATTAGCTCCCTCTCCTGGCACCTGCCAACCCACTCACTGCGCAGCCTAAGCAGGTGTGCCTGGCATATTGGTTTTCATTTCCACAAAGGAAACCCACTGGCTGCATGGTGAATGGGTATAAACTTCCCAGTGCACATGAAGCCTGGGATCATGATCCTGGGCTCCACACACACTTGTAAGTTGAAAGGGCACCAGCAGAAGTAAGGCATCAGGTGCCGGTTCCCAGTGCTGGTGTCCCTGCAGCAGTTATGCCATTGTGATCCATCCTTGATCCCAAAAGTCACACGTCTTGTAATGTCCATGTGTCATAGCAGGAAGTGTGATTGTTGGGATCTGGGATCATATCCCATCACACTATTAAATTAATGTCTGCCAGTGCTCTTAATAGTCAGAGAAAGCTCAGGTTACAGTTTCTATGATTTTATCCAATCATAGACAATATGTCAATGAGTGCTTTTGTGCAGGTAAACATAATCTTTGGTAACTTGCCAGGTTCTGGAATGGAGTCATTCCTACCAGCTGTTTAAAATCAAGAATATTTTGACCCCAATTCAGATAATTTGATACTGAAAAATTAAGGCAGGTATGACTTTTACCTTAATTTTAGCATCATGGTTTGCAAAGATCCAAAATATATAACTAGAGATTGCTGGTCGATACAATGGGTCATCCCTGAGTGGGATTTCTCAAAATTTTCCCCCAGAATTTGCTTTTGAGGACATAGAGTCAATAATCAGACACAATGCATAATTAGGTGTCATTCCTAGATCATATCCAAATATTCCCCTGTGGCTAAATAAGTACAAGCAATATGCTGAAAATTGACCCCAGTTTTCACGCTAGATCTGTGTGTGCATACTATGCAAACGAGCCTCACAGACCATTCCTGAAAGACAAATTTCTAAAAAATCAAATTGCACATCATTTTCGGTCCTTTAAAATATCCATCAGTGCTATGCAAAGCCAAGAAATAACTTTTTTTGAAAGAAATGGAGTTTCCTCTTTGGCAAAGAAAGAAAAGAATCTTCTTCCTGGGCAAAAGAAAATGTATTTTTTAAATCATTTAACATAAAGGATACAGAAAAAATGGAGAAAGGAGAATTGAAGTCCTCTTCTAGTTCCTTATTACAGTAGGAGGCACTTTAGACTTGATGGACAGCCAAGAAATGTCCATTGCACCTGCAAAAAAAGCATTAGATCTCCTTCAGCAGGGGTCCCTCCTTCCTCCAGACTCGGGCAGTTCAGCAATCATTTTTATTTTGCCCCATTGATACTTTCTGGCATTGAGAGTATGTAACCAGGAAATGTCATTGATTAAGCTGGTCAAATAATATATGTCTGATGTGAGAGGAAATAGGAAGCTTTGTGTTCAGGACTTTATTTGGAAAGCGCCCAGGATAATGGTCCCTTTGTCCTCTAGATGCTCCAGGAATGCAAACAATAATAGCCACAAAATTCTAGTTATCTCAGCAGCACTAGAATTTCTCTAGATGGTTAAATGATGTTTATGGAAAAATGGATAAGAGCCTTAATAGTGCTCTTTAGCCCAGCATAACAGACTCCTCATCTAAATTTCTTCAGGTGTCAGAACGTTAGTCAGAATGACAAAATAGATAAGTCTATGGAAGGCCTTTGTCATTTCCATTACCTTCCAAAGACAGGCTTTTCATTTGGTTCCATACAAGAAAAACAAGTTACTTCTTGTCATGAGGGATGCTATTGTCATAACTCCTAGCCTGACCTGGAAGAAATAACGTGGTGTGGGGTGGAGGGAGTGTGGAAGAGACTGCATGGTGCTTAGTGGGAGGGAAAGCAGGGGAGAGCATGTGGTGCAGGGTGGAGGGAGTGCAGGGGAGACCGTGAAGTGTGCAGCCTGGGGGGACTGCAGGTACCAGGGAGAGTAAGTAGCAAGGCGTCAGGCATCAGAATGCACAAATCTTGGTTGGCAGGGCAAGGGGCAACAACAGAGTTTCAACAAAGAAGTGGATAATAAAAGAAATGGTTGGTGGCTGGTTTATTTGAAACCAAGAAGGATTGTCATGCAGGTGGAATAAGCATCAAACTGTATCAACTTTATAAGAGGAGAACGATCACACTGAAGTATTTAAGCATTAATCACATTTGGTGTTTCTGTGCCAAGACTTCAATTTGTAGGTGCCTATTTGTAGAAGCCTGCTAAGCCTGTATGGCCAGGTTCTTTGAAAACCATATAATTCATGACTAAAGCTTGTAACAAATAAGACGTTTCATCATCATGTGCGTTGGGTTGCTTAAAATCTGAAATGCTCTACAATGACTTCATTATAATTAGCAACATGAATAACCAGGCATCTTTCTCTTGTTTTTCAGCTTCGAGTTTTCAAGTTAGCAAAATCTTGGCCAACGCTAAATATGTTGATAAAGATTATTGGTAACTCAGTGGGGGCTTTAGGAAATTTAACCTTGGTGCTGGCCATCATTGTCTTCATTTTTGCGGTGGTTGGCATGCAGCTCTTTGGTAAAAGCTACAAGGAATGTGTCTGCAAGATCTCTAATGACTGTGAACTTCCACGCTGGCACATGCATGACTTTTTCCACTCTTTCTTGATTGTATTCCGAGTGCTGTGTGGAGAATGGATAGAGACTATGTGGGACTGTATGGAGGTTGCAGGTCAAACCATGTGCCTTACTGTCTTCATGATGGTCATGGTGATTGGAAACCTAGTGGTATGTAATTAATGTTTTTCAGATATTTGAGACAAACAATATTTGTTGGAGTAAAATATGCCTGAACCCCCATCATACATGGGAGCATTTTGTCTAATTTTCCCTTAAACTCTGACAGGCATCCTACTACCCTCCTAAGTAACCTGTTCAAGGGCTTAAAATTCTCGGCAGTTAGAATTTTTTTAATATATAGCCATCATTGTCTTTATAAAAAAACATAAATATTTGAAGGTTATTATCATGTCCCCCTTCTCCAGTCTTCTCTTATCTATCAAATAAAAACTCAGTTTTTTAAACCTTCCTCATAGAAGGAAAGTTAAAAGCTCCCATCATTTTTATTGCTCTTCTTTGGACTCTTTCCAATTTGTCTTCTTCAATTGTGATGGCAAAACCTGGAAAAAGTACTCCAACTAAGAACTCGCTAGTGCCAGTGTCTTGCATACATTGCTCCTGAGTAGACAAAGGTTAGTCTGCCTGAAGTCAGGCAGAAGGCATGGTAGGATGGCACCTAGAGACTACCTTGCTCAGAGGCACAAGCTTTTGTTAACATTTGACGAAGTAGTCTGTCTCTTATGAAAGCTTATGCCTCTCTGAACATGTAGTCTCTAAGGCACTACTTTACCCTGCCTTCTATACTAACTCCTAACTAACTAATACAACCAGAACAACAATTGTGGGGTTTTTTCAACAGCATTACACTTGACTATTACACTTGTGTAATAGCAAAATTTGTGATCCACTTTAAGTCTCATCCTTTTCCTTAGTACTTCTGTTTAGCCAGCAGAGGTGTAACTGGTCAGGACTTCCCCTGGGGCAGTCCCCCACTCCTCTTCCCCCTCTACCTTCTTTGCAGGCTTCAAAGTCCAGAGGCTTGAACTACAGCACAGGAGCAGAAGTTGGAGTTTGCTGCTCTGAGGAGAAATGTCACCATAGTTTTTTTGCTGTAGTCACACATGTCAAGCAGGCAAAAAAGAATGGGGTTTTGGCAGAAGAAAAATGGGGTGACATCTCCTGCCAGCAACTGTAGTTACTACTACCCACTGCCACTTGACAGAGCTACATCTCCATGCTTACTGCTGGAGATGGAGCCAGAAAGCACAGAAATGTGGGGAGCAGGTGCTGGGAGGCTGAGGTACCATCCACTCCATTCTCCTTCCCCCTAATTTAGGCAATGGCCAGGGCTCATGCTCTGTCTGTCCACCCATCACTACACTGTTTCTATCCAGTTAATCTGTTACTGAATTTAATCCTAGGGATTTTGAGCAGTTGCTCCAATCATATGAATGACTGGAGTTTCTTAGGATCGTATGAATGTTATTCTTGTGTGCTAAGTGCTATAAAATCTCCTAGCCTTGTGTCTCCTGCGATTTTTATAAGTGTATCCCTTGGTCCATCATCCAAGTAATTAATTAAAATATTAATTAAAACTGGGCCCAGGAGAAATTTTTGTTGGAAGCCAAATCATATGTCCTCCCCAAGTGATGGTAAACTATTGATAACCATTCTCTGAACCTGTTTTTTCAACCAGTTTACACTCACTTTATCATAATTACACTACATTAAATGAAACATTTTCCTTAGTTTGTTTATGATAATTTTATATGGGCCTGCATCAAAAGGCTACCTAAGGCCAAGAGATACTATATCTACTGGTTCCATTATGTACTAGGACACATATCTTATCTAGAAATTAAATTAGTTTGATATGATGTGTTCTTGACAGAACCATGCTGCTATCCTCTTACTATGTTCTTGATACTGATATATTGATTGTTTAGTAATATATTCTAATAGTTTAATCCAAACAAGGACACTAGGGATGCTACCTTTATATGGTGCATTGGTATGTTGGACTAGTATTTATTTCTACAGCATTTATTGCATATTGTATTTATGATTGCCAATTTTTTTAACCAGCAAAAGCAAAACATTGCTAAGCGACCATCTTTAGGGTATAGCAAGGCATTCATCTGAAGTGCTAAGAATTTTCAGGAAATTGGCAGTACCATGAAAATGGAATATGAAGTAAGTTTGAATTGTGTTGCAATACTGCTGTTTTTCCACGATAAACCACTTGAACACCTGAAACTTGCTTTTTTAAAACACCAAAAGGGTGTATTTCTCACTATACATATAATGCATGTCCATGGCCTTTGACATTTCACAAATGGATAGTAGAGGAAGAGATGGAAGATTTTTCCCATCTTCAAGTTCCAGAGCTGCTGCAGCGTGCCCCACAAATGATTCCCCAGTGTAGTATCCCTATCCAGGCTGTTTTGCAGCATATGATGGGTCTGCTCTAGCAATTCTCTCCGCACCCCTACATCTACCCACCCTTTTTACTCTGTGCAGTAGAACTGAAGTGGTTCTGATGCCAAGGACTTCTCACTGGCTGTGGAGGCAGTGGCTAGTTTTTATGCGATGTCCAACCTGGAAAATAGTTTTGGCAGGATGTATTGTAGCAAGTAATGTAGCAAGGAAGAGCAGCAGTCAGGTAATTTGATACTAGTACTAATCATAAAATAAAAATTCTGTCATATTGAATAATCCATAAAGAAATGAATGTAATCATTAAAAAAATGAGAGATCCATATATCTTTTATCTTTACTGTTTTTTAGGTACTCAACCTCTTTCTGGCCTTGCTTCTGAGCTCATTTAGTTCAGACAACCTTGCTGCTACAGATGATGATAATGAAATGAACAATTTGCAGATTGCTGTGTCAAGGATTCAGAAAGGAATTGATTTTGTGAAAAGAAAAGCACGTGAATTCATCCAAAAAGCTTTTGTAAGAAAGCAAAAAGCGTTAGATGAAATCAAACCTCTTGAAGATCTCAACAACAAAAAAGACAGTTGCATTTCCAACCATACCATAGTAGAAATAGGTAAAAACCTTAACTATCTTAAAGAAGGGAATGGAACTACCAGCGGCATAGGCAGCAGTGTGGAAAAATATGTCGTCGATGAAAGTGATTACATGTCATTCATAAACAATCCAAGCCTCACTGTGACAGTACCAATTGCTGTCGGGGAATCTGATTTTGAAAATTTAAATACAGAGGAATTTAGCAGTGAGTCAGATCTGGAGGAAAGCAAAGAGGTAGGACGATTTTATGAGATGCCTTCTTTTTCTTTCTAAAATAATGAAAAACATTTGTTTTTTAATCTAACATTGATTCCTGCGTAGCATAACCTTGTAGTTGTATGTAACACATCTTGATACATAACGTTGCAAGCGTCAAAAATGAAAGTAGAATTTTGTGATAATCAGGACACATACAGTGATTTTAAAAATCAAGACTAATTTTGTATTTTATTAAGTGAATTTGGTATTTCCAAAAGGTGACAATCAGACAGACCTAGGAATACTGCAAAATATATACTAATACACATGTTCCTTGTTCCACCAATGCACCTTGCCATTTCAATTGGTTTCTGGAGGGGGCACCTGTCAAAAAAGTCAGTGCTTGCTAAAAGTGACTATTGTTTTTTTGTGTGGGCTTTTTTCCACACCACAGATACCTGAATAATAGTCCAAAGCCATGAACCCATTTTATGCAGACCACTGGTACACCATCAGGAGTAGCAACTGGCTAGAGCTATGAGCTAGTACCCTAGAGGCTGAAAAGTAGAGAGGTGTAGACAAATTTATCCCAATATCAATCCCACTCTCATAGCCATGGGTTCTCATTTTGTCAGCAGTGAGGTATTTGAACCAAATAGTTTTTGCAACAATAGATAAAAGTGTATAAGAATGTCTGTATGAGATAATGTAGTACCATTTATCTGACTCTAAATCAGAAGGACTGATGAGTTTAGGCACACCTCTGCACTAATATAATTTTAGCACTTCCAGTACCCAAGATAGCTCATTCCGATCTAGCTCAAGCATCCTTCTATCTAGCAATGTTTTATGCCACATAGACCAACCGAAGGCAGTGGCGCTTATCCTCTGGCTTGTGAGATGGGTCCAGTCCACCTATGGAGTTCCCCATGGGCCTGGGAATTTGATGGTAGGGAAGCAATGGCAGCATCCATTGCCTCTCCCCTGCTGCTAAATTTCTGTAGCCATGAGGAGTCCTACAGGCTAGATAATGTCATGGCCTTGAGTGCTATAGATCAAGCTGGTACACAATTGAATCCAGCACAGGGGATCAGGCTGGTGCACAGAACTGGGCTGGTATGTGGCTGGATCTGATGTGTGGAATTGCACCTGTGAAATGACCTCAAATGTCAACCCTGCATGGGATCCAGCCTGCAAACTTAATCTGGGCCACTTATCTGGCTCATGGAGCTGAAAAGTTGGGCATCACTGCCCTAAGACACAAACTTTCAATCTGAGCTAAAAGTCCACGTAAGATTTTAAATCTCACTCTAAGATCCTTTTCCCTACTGGCTAACTCAGACTTAGAGCCACTTAACCTGATTTTCCTTGAGACTTCTTTATTGTCACTTTTAAGAAAAAGATTTTGTTTAAAAATTGTTAATGTGAGTACTTAGTTCATATCTTGAAATTAATGGTTCCATATAGATCAGTACAGGAAAACTGATTGAAATTAATCCTTTAACAGACCTTTTCATTGGCACTGAAGTGCTTCTCCTTCAAGCACCTTGCAATATGTTTGACTGTTGCATCATTTCACAGTTATTGTCCCCGGATGTTCACTGCTACCAAAGTGCAGCCAAGGTTGCTGTGCTGCTTGCCAGAGTTTTTCTAGCACTGTGGTCATCAGCTAATATTACATGAATTAATGCAGGTCTTTTCCCACCTCTACTTTAAACAGATAATTTTTTTCATAAAAGCCTACCCCCTAGGCCTTCTGGGTTTTTTTCTGCCCAACCATTCTCCTGGAAATACAATGACCAGTCATCTTCCTCTTTCGCTAATACAATATTCTACTATATCCTTATATACTGTTTTGGAACTCTAGTGTGGAAGAATCGTAGATTAAAGCCTGCGACTGTAAAATCAGGACAATTATATAAGATGCAGCGATGCTGTCAGACTAGATTCATTTTTGTGAAACACTGAGTGTCTCAAATTGAAGATTCTCTATGAAGTAGAAAATACTATCACATTCAACTACTGTTGTACATATTGACTGGGATTGGCAGTGATATTCTAGATACTGTATGAATTATACTAAAAGAAAATCCTATGAACGTCAATATATATCAATAGAACATCTTAGGCTCTATAAAGATCAGGATCAGGTACTCAGAAAGCATTTTAAAAAGAGTCCTCTGTCTCTCTGCTTCCAATACTGAGTTCCTCCTAATTCTGATGACTATAAATATCACAGTGGGATCCAGATATAATATGAAGGATTTTCCCTTCTTTTGCATTGTGTTCGCTTTTGTTTCCAAGATCTGTGCTATGTTTCTAAAGTGAATCAAGCAGCACAGGACCCTTAAGACCCCTGAAGCTCCCACCAGATTCTCCTTTTTTTTAATCTTTATTTTTAATTTATCCTGCTATATATAAATCTGACTTCAACATGGTATGAATGCCAGCTTCCCATTGGCAATTACTACCTGTGAGAAATTCTACATATTTTTTTTTAAATCTAATCCAGCCCCTGCACAAGACAGGATAATCCCTGATTTAACCATCCCATCCAAATGTCTTTTCTAACCTGCTCTTGAACATTTCCAAGGATAGAGATTCCACAATTTCTCTAGGTAACCTTTTCCAATGGTTGACCATCCTTATAGTCAGAAAGTTCCTTCTAATTTCTAACCTAATTTTCCTTTGCTGCAGTTTGAGGCCATTTCTCCTAGTCCTATCCCCTACAGTCACAGAGAAAAGCCCATCTCCATCTTCTTTATAACCTCCCTTCAGGTATTTGAAGATAATTATCAAATATCCCCCAGGTTTCTCTTCTCTAAACTAAAAAAAAATAGCTCCATAATTGCACTACATCATAGAGCTAACCCTATGCTTTCATTTAAGTACTTTTGTTGAGGTCCTTTGTATGCCCAAACGTTCCAATGTTTTGCAACATTTTCAAGTGAACATGTGATACCCATGAACATTTACTAATTAAATACCTCCCAATATTCTGGTGCTGTGCTACTGTTCCCAATGAAAGTATGACCTCACCCTATGTGTTATCTTAAGATAGTCTGTAGCAAATAGTTTGCTTCTGCCTTAATGCACTTTATACTGGGAGCGGGAGGGGGACAGGGAAGGAGCGCCTCCCTGATGATGACTCAGTCATTGATATTACTTTTGATAGGAGATTGGTGAACTGCCGGTTCTCATTACATACTAGTGATAATGCGCATGTCTTAAAACATGGTCAGTTTGTTATATTATTCCAGGCAGAAGCATCCTCAAGGGGTTATGTTTTTGGGCAGGTAGTAGAGGCAGTTGATATGCAGAAATTCTAGAGTCTGTTCACAACTTTTCCAGTGAGTTATGCTGTGCTTTAATAACTATGGGTGCCTATATACATTCTGGTTTGCGTTCTAATTAGAAAGCATCAGAGCAGACTCAATCGTGTTCTAATTAGAATGCTCCAGCGTGGCCCCATCATCCTATATATAAGCCCCTGCAGGTTTAAAAGTGGCTGCTGGGGTGCCTTATCTAAACCTCACCAAATGAGATGGGGATTAAGGTACTCGGGGAAAGCATCTACACAAGAGACATTTACTGTGGAGCTGCCTAATCGGTAAAGTCTCAACTTGTACAGGTGCGGCCCTATTAGGCTGCAGGAAACTAATTAACTCAACCTCAGGTTAGTACTTGTAAATACAGCACCGCAAACCTACATACTGATAGGGCTGCCTGGGGCATGAGGGTGCTTCAATGTGGGGCCTGCCTGCTGGCTAGCCCTGCACTGAAGCACTCTTGTGCCCTGACCAGTCTCTCCAGAGCACAATGAGCTGGGTCAGAGCAGCCCTTGGCTGGCAGGCTGATGCCTTGAGTCACTTGCCAGCCTGCCACCTACCAGGACTTCTCCAAACTGGCTCAGTGTTTTGTGGTCTCGGATACACATGTAAGTGCAGCACCTGGGAGCAATGAACTCTGGCACATCTAGGTCTCTCATAGGAGTACAAGGCCTATAATATGAAAGGGGTTTCCTCCTCCAGAGCCTCTGTTTTAAAATGGAAAAATAGCTGTCACTGGACTCGGGGATGTAATCTCATACATGTATGTATGATTTAAGAATTCTTTCCAAAATCAAGAATTGTGGGAATTTGGTGAAAGAGTGCATAGTTACAGGATCCAGAATGGACTCAGGGATAAGCTAAGTGCAAGTGTGAATAATTTTGGGGTATGCACATAAGCAAAACTTGTAAATACCTTGGAAACAGAAAATTAAGAAGTGAGGCATCTATGGCATTTAAGCATCTCCAAGCTTTGGTTGCAGGTGGAGGGATTTTCAAAATGGTGATTTTGGATTTATGTAGTCAAATTCCACTTAAGTACTACTTTAGGGACTTAAATTCTGGGGGGTTTTGAGTCATGGCCCCTAGGTCCTTCACTTCGCTGGATGATTATGTTGTATTGTTGACTCTGATATAAGAAGGCATGAGGACATTTATGGAAGACCCATACTGAGCGCTTGTGAAAAAATGAACCTTGGAAAAGAAAGGAGTTCAAGATGAGTTTGTGATAAGTTTGTGATCAGAAAAGTGACTGAAATAGCTTCTTGGCTCAATACTTCCTTACAATTTTCACGCCATGATGTTACAACTTTTGTTTAATTAGTATTTAGAAGTCTAAAAATGTTTATTACCTTATGCTCTTATATATTAACATATTATTGTGAATGAACTTAAGTATCTAATCAGTAAACATAATTGTATAAGAATTTCCAGAGCATAAAAGCAGAAGTACTGTGTCTTGAACTTCACTTCCTACCATTCTTACTTCTCACAGGAGTAAAATCAAGCTGGATCAGTCAAGAATGCAGCTCTGGTGCTTTTTAACCAGACAGAGCAACGTGTCACCAATTTTACACAGGTTACCTAAGCAAGTTATACATGTATATTATCACTTTTCCAATGGATATTGACTGGCCTGCATGTTACTCAGCTATGTTCCTGCCCCATTCATTGCAATACAGTAGAAACATTCACAGCTGCTCTTTG